TGCGGATCAAAGTTCAAAATTAGCCAATAATATGTATGTTCAAAAATATACTTCAATCATTTTAAAAAATTATCAATTTGATAATTAATTAATATTTTTATTAATATTTATATTAATTTTTATATAATATTAATATTTATATTAATTTTACAATAGATATTGTACAACATGGTATCAAATGCCTCCAAATATTCAAAAAATATTTCATATAATACAAATAAAATCTAGTAAACCATGTAAATTAAGTGCAGGAGGAATATTGGAATTGAATATCGAGAATTTTGGAATAGTACGTAATAATGTATAAAATACTGTTATATAATTATTTCATTACATAATATAAATAATGATCTGTACTCGATATTCTTTAATATTTCAAGGCATTGAAAACATGTATGTCGTACTTTACGATTTTCCTATCTTTACAAGACTGATTCGTTATTAAAATGATTTTCTCTTGCTGATTCTGATTTTTAATGAAAAGGCATTGAACTAAAAATCAATTATTTATATGGATGTGATAATGCATATTTACTTTATGTTGTATTATAATATTAAACATATATGTGTCAAAATACATCGAATAAATTTTCACGTAAATAAAGCATATATACAATAAATATATAAATCTTATGTCTTTGATACTATTATTATTAAAACATGAAAATAATATTGCATTTTTTAAAAAATATTTGGCATAATTATATAACTTTTAGATTATACTTACTTTTATTATTTGTCTAAAAATTTTTCCTCTGGATTATCGCAAAATTTTAGATTCTAAATTTGATTCCCTGAATCTGCCTTGAATATTGTACTTCTACTAAACAAATGCGTCCATATCTGTAAATATTTAAATTTAATTATTTCATCATCAACATCACATTTTTATTTTGAATACGTTTTTGAAGATCGATCGATTTTTATAGTAAATATAATTGATGTAAATTTCAAATTTTTTAATTTTATAATATATAAAAAGAAAGGCACTATCACTTTTTCAAAATATAAAAATACAAAATCTTTTTCTTAAGAAGATTTTTGTGTAAAAGTAAAAGTTAATTAAATTGTCACTCTGCAGATAACTTCTGATAATTAAAGCTCGGGTAAGTAAAATGTTATTATTCTTTTTCTTTTTTTTTCTTAATTTAAAAGATTTTGTTGATTAATTGTTTATTAATTATTGAATTTTTCAATAAACTAGAATATCAATTTAAAAGAAAAGTAACAACTTTCACATTCTAAATTATTATCTGAAAGTTCTAAGCAATGATAATTTATCATTTTTCATAATTTTTATCTCTACACATCACATAAATTTCTGATATGACATATAATAATATTGTCCAGAAAAGAAAACGATAGCTATCATTAATTTTTGATATAATGATATAATGATATATGTTTGTCCAGAAATGACAATTATCGTTTGTTATAATAATCGAAGCGAATAATAGCATTGCTAAAGAACGAAAAAGACCTATAAACTTTCTTTATCAATTTACCATACATTATTTTCTATCCTAACTTTATAAAGAATTCTTTTTTATTTTTCTTGATAGTTTTGTTAAAACGTATGTTGCTATATGTATACACTAAATTTGCTTATACGTCTTTATTCAACAAATTTGAAAATATAGATAGTAAGATAAAAAGATGCAAATTATCGAGATATATTTAAACTTTATTTTAATATAATCTTAATTAATATTTATATAGTATTTAAAATAGTTGATCAACAAATAATTTTTTCGTGGAATTAATTTAAATTTAAAGTATTTCAGAAAACAGGAAGAGAGTATTCTAATATATTCGACATTTCTATCGACTATAAAGTTCTCAAGAAATATTTACAATTTTTGGGACAAGATCCATATCAAGAATGTAAATACAGAAATATTATTACAATTATTATGTTAATTAGCATGATAGCTATATTTATACCAACGGTAAGAAAAACATGAATGTTATAGCAAATAGTGATATAGATTATAAAATAAAAAAATATGAATATAACAAATTGCGCGTAAAACAAAATAAATAATTAGGTAATATTGTTAAACAATTGGAACTTGGAATATGTTAGACATTTGAAATATATGTATCAATACATGACAAAAATACGGATGCAATGGAATGTTTGCCGAATTTATGAGCAATGTTATTAAAATATTAAATATATATTTCAATAGAGAAAATATACGTGAATATATTATCATATAATAAAAATTTTCTTTTTTTTTTTATATACAAAGTCTAAAAAAATATATATTTGTACTTATAGTTTAATAAATTATTAAAATTTGTGGTGAAAGAATGGAAGGAGCTGAAATTAAATGAATTGCATATTCTAGAAGAAATCACTATTCAGGATAGTAAAATAGCGCACTTATATCGCAGTAAGCTATCGTGTTTTAATTTTTTAATTTTAGAGAATTTTATACATGAATTTATTCTTGTTTATTTGAATTTGAATTTATTCTTATTTTGTATTCAACTATATTCTTTCCAGATACTTTATTGTCTTTTTTAATATTGTTTTTACTTGTTCCTATGTACTTTCCTATTCTGGATATAATTGATGCATTAAATCAAACTCGATCACGACAACTACTTAGAGTCAATTATATGCTTTTTAACGCTGATGATTACTTTTTCTATGTGTATTTGCAATTAGCTTTTTGCAAATTGTTATCGTAATGATTGTAATTACCGTAGACTCTTTGTCTATAATTATAATTCATCATATATGTGGATTGTTCGCAGTGTGTAAGTAAATATCACGATATCAAAAGAAATATACAATTAAATCGTGGCTATTTTTTCTAACTATTTCTAATTCTTGATTAATTAAATTTAGCTACGAAATCCAAAAAACAATAAAAGATTTGACAGTATTTGCTAATACTGAAAAGTGCTCATATAATGAATTAAAAAATTGCGTGATGAAGCACAAGAAAGCAATCAAGTTAGTATTTATCGAATAATCGATCAATTATAAAAAATTATCAAATAATTAACGAACATTACTAATTTTTTATTTTTAGGTTTTATAATATTCTAAATAATAGTAGTCAACTGAGTTATTTACTTCAGATTGGAATAAATATAATGGGTATAAGCACGACAGCTTTTCAAGTAAAGAAAAAATTTTAAAGTTCAGAAAATGAAAGCACAACAAAATTAGAAAAGTTTTAATCAGAACAATAATTTTATATTTTCAGTTAGCCGTCAATTTAGATACGAGACCATAAGAAGCAATCAGAAATGCTGTATTTTGTGGAGCCAATCAATTTCATTTATTTGTGCTTAGCTTACCTGGACAGATACTTCTCCATCATTGTGCCGAACTTTCCAATACAATGTATGTATATGTAATATAAAGTCCTACAAAACACAAATAATATATATTATAAATTATATATAAAAAGATAATGTTTCATTGGCATTTCAACAGATATTGTTCTATGTGGTATAAATTACCAGTAAAAATTCAAAAAATGTTTAACATAATGTTAATGAGAAGTAAAAAATCATGCGCGTTAACGGTATACGGATTGTACGAATTGAGTATGGAAAACTTTGGAATAGTATGTACTATAACACTTATATAGATATCATAATTATTATTAATTAAATTTAATTTTTATAATTTTTTCATTTCAAGACTTTCAAAGCTTGTATATCGTATTTTACTATGATGCTGTCGCTAAAATAATACAATGTTAAATAATTCATATCAAGAATTTCATTACATAATGTTCTATTTGATGTTAAGTCATTTACATTAAACATGCAAATAAAATTAGTATAATCATTACCAAAATTATGATCTTCATTTTATTCCACTGGATTTTCTAGCACTTTCATAAATATTTATGTTTATGTACTAACATAATTCGTTATGAATTAATTCGCAAAGAAAGCTGAAACAGAAAAAAATATTTATATAATCAATGATGATGAATTATTTTTATTTTTAATGTCCATATCATATAACTAACATTATTATACAAACACTTTTCTTTTTCGATTAATTATTATTATTATATAATCTATTTATAATATATTTAAATAAAAGATTTTTAATTTCCTTTTTATTAAAGCAATGATTTAAATGATCTATGATAATTTATACATATAGATTATTATTATATTGTGAATTGTGCTCGTCGTGATTTTAACGCCTTGCAATTGTGATAAACTTAACTTATCAAATGATTCAAATGAAATGAAGAAATTATTAGTCTTGGAAAACATTGCTGGAAAGGATATCTTTTTTATAATTTTTTTTTAATAAGAATGTAAAAGAATTCAAAAAAATTATTTGAAAATTTATCGTTTATCATTATTCAATGAATGACATTTATATGTGATTAATATCTCAAGATAATTACAGATCTTCCATTTCTAAATTAAATGACATTTTCACAGATTTTGACGGATATTTATATTTACAATATACTGTATCTCAATATCATCAAATGATATTTTAATATATATCTGCATGACTTACAATTGATAATTGAAATTAGATATTTAGTTTAAAAAATTCGTAGTTAAAAACCGAAACAATTCTAACTACAAAACTAGAAAATACTGCAAATAGAAATACAAAGATATTTTTAGAATTTATAAGAATTCAATAGAGTTACATGATAATCTTCGGTCTATTATCGAATATCTGAAAATACTAAATACAAATCAATATTTCAAGACAATCATTTACCTTTAATTTTATTGCATAAGCAGATAACCTAAAGTTATTGGAAAAAGAATTTTCTTATGTACGATACAATTGTTCTCTGTCTTGAAAATTATACTTTAATCTATATGTGTCAAGTAAGTGAATGATTTGTAGTCATTTTCAGTAACGTCAAGTATTATGTTCAATTGCATTCGTCAGATTGATTTTTACAGTTTCAGAAAGAAAAATATGCATAGATTTAGACCACATAGATTCATTTAAAGACGTTTACTTCATACTGATCATACAAGTTGCAACGTTGCTGTTTTGGAATCATGGATAGTAAGAAAAAAATCGCATTAAAGATTAAAATTAAAAAAAAAACTTATCTTATTTTGAATATTGTGACATTAATGTTATATTAATCATTTTTATATATATTTGGAACAATTTAATGATAAATAATAATTTAAATTTATGTTCAGGATTTTCAGTATTTCAGAAAATTGAAAAACAGCATAATGAAATATATGATATTCCTTATTATAAAATGATGGAGAAATACATACGATTTTTGGGACAAGATCCACGTCAAAAAAGTGAATTTAGAAATATTATCGTATTTACATTGATAATTAGTATCGCAAGTATTGTCATTCCAACGGTAAGAAAATTATATTTTAAATAACATTCTACAAAAAAAATGAGACAAAATAAATAAAATAAATTCTATGAGATAAAATAAATAATCAGATAACATTATAAATTAAATTATTAGACATTTGAATTATATATATCATTACGTAACAAGGATATGGACGGTGTGATTGAGTGTTTACCGCATTTTATCGCATCTTCGATTAGTGCCATTAAACTATTAAATTTACATTTCAACAGACAAAATGTAAGAGAAATTTATTATTTTTTAACAAATTCTTATAAAATAAATGATTGTAAATATTATTCATATTATTTTATAGTATAACATATTGCTCCATTTTGTGACAAAAAAATGGCAACAATTAAAATCAACATATGAATTAAATGCTCTTGATGAAACAATCATGCAAGGCAAAAGAATGGCACAATTGTATCGAAGTAAGTATTATTATCTTTATTTCTGAACTTAATTATTTTCGTTTAAATTTTATAAAAATAAACCTGTCTTTCCAGATACCTTATTTTCTTTTCTGATTTTGTTCTTGCTGGTTCCACTAGTTTCTCCTATTCTGGATATTGTTCATCCATTAAATCAAACTCGATCTCGACAACAACTACTTAGAGTTAATTATCTCATTTTCGACACTGATGACTATTTTTTTTACGTATATTTACAGTTAGCTTGGGGATCAATTATTGTTGTACTGACTATAATCGCTGCTGATTGGTTCTATATTCTTATAATTCACTTTAACAGTGGATTATTTGCGGTGTGTGGGTATATATCGTAATGCAAATAAATATAAAATATTCGAAATAGTACAAATTTTTTTAATGATAAAATTCATGATTTTTGCTGCCAATTTTTTGACAAATACAGAGTTCAAGTATTAGAAGCAACAATGAATTCGAATTTAATTTCTAAAGATGCGTTGTCTGAGAATTCGTCGTATGAAAAATTTAGAACTTGTGTAATCATGCATAATGAAGTTATAGAGTGCGTATTTATTAATTAATATCAATTATATAATATACTAGCAAATAATTATTGCATTAAATTGCTTTTTTTTTTATTGCACTTCGAGGTTTTATAATATTTTGAACGAAAACTGTCAGTATAGTTACTTAATTCAGGTTGGATTAAATATGCTGGGCATGAGTACGACAGCTGTTCAAGTAAATATAATTATTCGAATAATGACACATACAAACTGTTGAAAATTTTATTTAATTAATTATTTTATTTTTCAGACAGTTATAAATTTAAATAGACCGGATGTAGCAATTAGAAGCGCTGTATTTTTTGGTGCCGATCAGTTTCATTTGTTTTTGCTCAGTCTACCTGGACAAATACTTTTAGATCATTGTGCTGATTTTGAAAATACTATGTATGTATTTATTGTATGTACTAAATAATTATAAAGATTTTATAATTTAAGATAACTCGAATTTAATATTTGATTATTATTAAAACAGATATGATTCCACGTGGTATGGAACATCATTGGAAATTCAAAAAATGTTTTATATGATGCAAATAAGAAGTAAAAAACTATGTGCATTAACTGCAGGTGGATTATATGATATGAATATTGAAAACTTCGGAATAGTATGTAGTATATAATAAAAATATTATAATAATATATATTTTGTTTAATTATTATTTAATTTTTTTTCAAGACTTTTAAAACATGTATGTCATACTTCACGATGATAATGTCGTTGAAATAATGATTCTATGATGTTCATAAAAAATATATGTATACATATACAAATCTATTATATTTTCTATCCAGATTAATTGAGGATACGAATAATAGTAAAAATAATTAATATGTATTGTTAATATTAAGTAGCAAAACATCATAACAAATTTTGTCAAACACATAAATAGAACAAAATGTTGTAATATTGTAATGTATAAAAAATATTATAAATCTTACCAAAATTACGAATTGATTAACATTTCACAGCGCCATTCCGTTTTCAGTAAATTATAAAAAAAATTTTTTTATTTTAGCGAATTTAAAGTGATATAAAGTGAATGTTGATCTACAAAGTTTTATAAAATTATATATATTATCCATCGCAAATAACAATTTTTCACTGATTCTGAAAAAGAGAATTCATAGTTGAAAATCCAAAAAATTAATATTATTGAATACAGAAATATATTTTTTTTAGAATTCAATAATTTTCAATATACAATAATTTGAAAATTATTCTTTTGTCTATCACTGACCGTTTAGTAAGCACCATATTGCAAGCAATCAATATTTCAAGATAATCATGGATCTTCGATTTTAAGCATAAATGGCAGACGCCAATATAGCTGTTTTGTACAGTCATTTTCTTATCTACGAAACAATTGTTGCATAAGTTAATTTAATAAGTGTGCAATAATACATATGTGTCTTACAAGGAAATGATTCGCAATTATTCGTAATACCTACTGTTACACATCGAATATTATCGTACATTGAATGTAACTGCATTTATCAGATTGATCTCTTCCTCTCTAAAAAGAAAGACATTTAAGAAGATATTGGTTTTGGAACAAGTTTCTACAATTTTACAATATTGCAAATGTGCATAGTAAGAAAAAACGTTGAATTACATTTAATGTTATTTGTATTTTTATATTATTTCAATATATATTTATATATAATATATTATATAAACATATTAGAAATGATTTTTTGGAAAAATAATCTGAATTTACAGCATTTAGTATTTCAGATATATGAAAGACAGTGTCTTGATATATTTGAGATCCCTTATTACAAATCATTGAAGAAATGGTTAACATTATCAGGATTATATCCACCTAGAAATATTATCATAATTTTAGTGGCGATTTCCATTATAAGCGTTACTCTGCCATTGGTAAGAAAACAATATTGAATATTTTAAAAAAAATAATAAAAAGAATGATTTTGAAAAAATGCATGTAATACAATAATAAGATAATTTTATTAAATAATCGAAATGAAATTCATTAGATGCTCGCAATATACACATCATTATGTGCAAAGAATATAGATGCTATGCTTGAATGCTTGCCGTCTTTAGGTGTATGTGTAGTTGCTATCTTTAAACTACAAAATATATATAACAACAGTGAAAACGTATGTGAATATCTAATTATATAAATATCGTATTTAGTACAAAATATTATATTTTATAGTTCAAAAAATTATTTACATTTGTGGCAAAACAATGGTATCAGTTGAAATTAAACAATGAAATACGAATCCTGGAAGAAATCATAATGCAAGGCAATAAAATGGCACAAATATATCGAAGTACGATATTATTTTTGCAATCCGAATGTATTTATCTATTTAAAATATTTTTATTTTTTATTTTTATTTTTTAAATATAATCTATATAATAATAAAGTATACTATGCATACTTTTCAGATACATTATTGGTCGCTATGATAATTTTTTTTTTCGTACCATTAATTTTTCCTATTTTGGACATTGTTTATCCTTTAAATGAAACTCGACCAAGACAACAACTATATAGAGTTAATTATTTGATTTTTAACCACGAAGATTATTTTTTTTATGTATATTTTCAATTAGTTTGGAGCTCATTTGTTTGTGTGATAATCGTAATTATTTTTGATTGGTTGTATATTCTTATAATTCATCATAATAGTGGAATGTTTGCAGTATGTGGGTAAATATTATTATAAAAAATACATTATTAATCTTCTCATATATTATTAATATTTAATATATAAATTTTAATCATTTCCTCTTTTATTAGGTACCAAATTCAAAAAATATTCACTGAAAAAGTTTTTTCGAATATACATATATACGAACAATTTAAAAATTGTTTAATCGTTCATAATGAAGCTATTCAGTTCGTATTTATCAAATAATTGAGAATAATAAGTTATAAATTAATCATTGAATATGTCTAATTTACTTTTTCATAATATTTCTAGGTTTTTCGATATTTTAGACGAGAGTAGTCGAAATACTTATTTCTTTTTAGTTGGAACAAATATAATGGCAACAAGCATATCAGCTGTACAAGTAAAGACTAATCTGAAAAATCAAAAAGAGATAAAAAAAGATTTTACATAATAAATAGTTTTATTTTTCAGATAGTTTTAAATTTAGATAAATTGGAGATAGCAATTAAAAGCGCTGTATTTCTTATAGCTGCCCAATTTCATTTATTTATTCTTAGTATACCTGGACAAATACTTTTGAATCACTATTCTAATTTAAGAAATAATATGTATGTATTGCATGTTCTTATATAGAAGGTAAATGACTAAGAGCACAAATGTAACTTTGCTAATATTATATATACAGATTTATGTCTGCATGGTATAATATGCCAATAGAAGTTCAAAAAATGTTTTATGTGATGCAAATAAGATGTAAGAAGACATGTTCATTAACGGCATGTGGATTATACGAAATGAATATGGAGAACTTTGGAACAGTATGTATTGCAATATATAAAGTTCTTAATAATATATATTAATAAATATTAATAATTATTTATATTTATTTCAAGGCTCTAAAAACGTGTATGTCATACATTACTATGATATTGTCGCTGAAATAATGTTATCCGTAAAACATCAAATCATATACAGATTTAACAAAAAATTTTAGAGCAAAATAAATATGATTGCATATTGCTAGTATGAATGTATGTATTGAATAATTTAAATTATATTATTGAATATAAGAATAAAATTATCAAATTACATTTGTTATATGGTATTTAATGAATTATATGGTATTAAACGAAACATTAAATGTCTTATCAAAATTTCACTTCGTGTTGCAAATATTCACTGTTTCAATTAAGATGAAAGAATAAACACTAAAAACATTAAGTAGATCAAGTCAAACAATTATCATTTTTGTAAAGTTACAATAGATATTTATATTCTACAAATAATTATCTTAGATTCTTTCTTTAATTAAAAAAATTCTTAATTAAAAATACAATTGTATATTGTTACTACAAAGTACTACAAATAGAAATACAGAGATATTTTTAGAATTTATAAAAATTCAATAGAGTGATATGACAATCTTCGGTCTGTTATCCAATATCTTACTGAAACTATTAAATACAAATCAATATTTCAAGGCAATCATGTACCTTTAATTTTATTGCATAAGCAGATATCATAAAGTTATTGGAAAAAGAATTTTCTTATGTACGATACAATTGTTCCCTGTCTTGAAAATTATACTTTAATCTATATATGTCAAGTAAGTGAATGATTGGTAGTCATTTTCAGTAACATCAAGTAACGTGTTCAATTGCGTCAGATTGATTTTTACAGTTTTAGAAAGAAAAATACGCATAGATTTAGATCATACAAATTCACTCAAAGACATTTACTTCATACTGATCGTACAAGTTGCAACGTTGCTGTCATGGATAGTAAGAAAAAATCACATTGAAGATTAAAATTAAAAAGAAACTTATCTTGCTTTGAATATTGTAACATTAATGTTATATTAATCATTTTCATATATATTTGAAACAATTTAATAATAAATAATATCTTAAATTTATCTTTAGAACTTTCAGTATTTCAGAAAATTGAAAAACAGCATAATGAAATATATGATATTCCTTATTATAAAATGATGGAGAAATACATACGATTTTTAGGACAAGATCCACGTCAAAAAAGCGAATTTAGAAATATTATTGTATTTATATTGGTAATTAGTATTGCAAGCATTTTCATCCCAACGGTAAGAAAAATATACTAATAACATTCTAGAAAAAAATACCATAGAAACGAAATTAAATAAAATAAATTCCACGAAGTAAAATAATTAATCAGGTAATGTTATTAAATAATTCAATCATTAGACGCTTGAATTATATATATCATTACGTAACAAGGATATGGACGGTGTGATTGAATGTATACCACATTTTATCGCATCTTCGATTAGTGCCGTTAAACTATTAAATTTACATTTCAACAGACAAAATGTAAGAGAAATTTATTATTTTTTAACAAATTCTTATAAAATAAATGATTGTAAATATTATTCATATTATTTTATAGTATAACATATTGCTCCATTTTGTGACAAAAAAATGGCAACAATTAAAATCAACATATGAATTAAATGCTCTTGATGAAACAATCATGCAAGGCAAAAGAATGGCACAATTGTATCGAAGTAAGTATTATTATCTTTATTTCTGAACTTAATTATTTTCGTTTAAATTTTATAAAAATAAACCTGTCTTTCCAGATACCTTATTTTCTTTTCTGATTTTGTTCTTGCTGGTTCCACTAGTTTCTCCTATTCTGGATATTGTTCATCCATTAAATCAAACTCGATCTCGACAACAACTACTTAGAGTTAATTATCTCATTTTCGACACTGATGACTATTTTTTTTACGTATATTTACAGTTAGCTTGGGGATCAATTATTGTTGTACTGACTATAATCGCTGCTGATTGGTTCTATATTCTTATAATTCACTTTAACAGTGGATTATTTGCGGTGTGTGGGTATATATCGTAATGCAAATAAATATAAAATATTCGAAATAGTACAAATTTTTTTAATGATAAATTTCATGATTTTTGCTGCCAATTTTTTGACAAATACAGAGTTCAAGTTTTAGAAGCAACAATGAATTCGAATTTAATTTCTAAAGATGCGTTGTCTGAGAATTCGTCGTATGAAAAATTTAGAACTTGTGTAATCATGCATAATGAAGTTATAGAGTGCGTATTTATTAATTAATATCAATTATATAATATACTAGCAAATAATTATTGCATTAAATTGCTTTTTTTTTATTGCACTTCGAGGTTTTATAATATTTTGAATGAAAACTGTCAGTATAGTTACTTAATTCAGGTTGGATTAAATATGCTGGGCATGAGTACGACAGCTGTTCAAGTAAATATAATTATTCGAATAATGACACATACAAACTGTTGAAAATTTTATTTAATTAATTATTTTATTTTTCAGACAGTTATAAATTTAAATAGACCGGATGTAGCAATTAGAAGCGCTGTATTTTTTGGAGCTAATCAATTTCATTTGTTTTTGCTCAGTCTACCTGGACAAGTACTTTTGGATCATTGTGCTAATTTTGCAAATGCTATGTATATATTTAGTATAAATAATTATAATAATCGGTAACTCGAATTTAATATTTGATTAATATTAAAACAGATATGGTTCTATGTGGTATGGAACATCATTGGAAATTCAGAAAATGTTTTATATGATGCAAATAAGAAGTAAAAAACTATGTGCATTAACTGCAGGTGGATTGTATGATATGAATATCGAAAACTTCGGAATAGTATGTAGTATATGATAGTATATGATATTACAAAGATAATAATACATATTTTGTTAATTATTATTTAATTCTATTTCAAGACTTTTAAAACGTGTATGTCATACTTCACGATGATAATGTCGTTGAAATAATAATTCTACGACGTTTATAGAAAATATACAACTGAATCTATTATATTCTCTGTCCAAATTAACTGAGGATACGAATAGTAGTAGAAATAATTAATATGTACATTATTAATATTACATAGTATAAAAAAGCTTTATCAAAAAGACAAATGTTGCAAATGAACAAAATATTATAATATTGTAATATATAAAAGATACAGATATATTACAGATACCAAAATAATTGACTAATATTTCATAGCATTATTCCACCTTCAGTGAATTACAAAAAGAATTTTTTTATTTTATCAAAATGATATAATATATAATATAATAGTAAATGTTGATCCATAAAGTTTTATAAAATTATATTTATTATTCACACATCGCAATTTTAAATACTATAACAATATTTTTCTTTGGATATTTTGTATTTTATTAAATGTATATTTTAAATATATTTCTACAATAAAATTTTGGGTTGCTTTTAATTTTTTAAATTATTGTAATTAAATAAATATCAAATCAAGAAAACTTCATCAAAATCAAATTTATCGATTGACGAAGTTATTTCGACAAATTATATTAGTTATAAAAAATTCAAGAATTGCGTGATCACGCATAACGAAGCCATATGGTTCGTATACAAAAATAATAAAATACATTATCATTTAGTTATTAATGACTAACATTATTTCGTTCCATTTTGAAGTTCTGCAATATTATAAATGACAGAAGTAGTTACCTGATTGAGGATTAACTATGTTCGACAGCTGTTCAAGTAAAGACAATTCTGATAATGATAACTTGGATAAAACTTGAAAAAAAAAAATTTTTATAATCAATTTCTTGATTTTTCAGCTATTGATTTATTATTATATTAAAATTTAAATAGACCTGGAAGAGCAATACAGAATTTTTTATTTTGTTTAACTAATCAATTCTATTTATTTCTATTTAGCTTACCTGGATAAATACTTTTGGATCATTCTACTGAATTTGCAAATAATATGTATGTATTTAATATATTTCAAAAACTTTATCACATACATACATTATAAAACAATATTTTTCATTTAATTATTATGTATTAATTTTAAATTTATGTAAACTTTATCAGAATTATGATTCAATTTTTATGAGATTGAATATTATTCTAAAAATATATTATAATTAATAATTTTAATCTGAAAGAATAAAGTTTATATACATTTTCTTCGAAATGAAATGAGAATCATCGGCAGTAGATATTGTTATTGAAAACACCGAGAACGAATACATATTGCGAATAAATTTACTTTTTAAGAATTCGTTCGACAAATTTAAGTGGAAAATTATTGGAAAATCTTTTGTCATTGTACGCTTAGTAAACTCCATACTGCAACAAGCGTAATCAATATTTTAGTATAATCATAGATCTTCTTTCTCCAAAGTTAACTGCCGGACATCAATTATCAAGCTATTTTCTTGTCTCTACAATACAAAGCCTGTAGACAATATCATAGTTTAAAAATTATTCTATAACATGAATTGATAAGTGACTGATTTGTAGTCATATGTTATTTCTGCAATTTTACATAGTTATATGTTATTATCGATATTGCTATTCTGCAATTATATGTGATACAATACTATCGAAACATAATTTTAGATTTATATTCGTCAGATTGACTTAACAAAAAATAACATTCAATCTTTCAGATTAGTTTCAAGTTATGAACTTAAAAATATGAATAGTAAGAAAAAGAAAAACAAGAGCAGAATGTAACAAAATAATTTTTTGTTTTTTTTTTTTTTAATTTCATAATTATTGTTTTAAATAACATTATTAATTTCATATTAATTATATTTCTGATATTTAAAATAACTCAATTACGAATTATAGTAAAATTAATTTAAATTTAAGACATTTAGTATTTCAGAAAACCGGAAGACAGTGTCCCAATATATTTGATATTCCTTACTATAAAATGGTCGAGAAATATTTTCAACTTTTGGGACAAGATCCGCGTTTAAAGAATGAGTTCAGAAATTTTATAGTAACAATGGTGGTGATTAGTATTTCAGGCAATATTGTTCCAACGGTAAGGAAATCACGTTGAACATTTTATAGAAATGAGGAAAGTGAATCGAGTGAATTCTACATAATAAAATAAAGGTAATGTTAAACAATTGAAATTTGTAATCATTAGTCAATAGAGTTATATACGTCGTTATGTGACAAGAATATGGATGCAGTGATCGAGGGTCTACCACATTTTATCGCAGCTACTATTAGTGCTGTTAAAATATTAAATATATATTTCTATAGAGAAAACGTAAGTAATTTTTTAATTATACAAAAGAATTTTTTTAGAATAATATATTTTTTCAAAAAAATATATTATTTTCTAGTTTGACAAATTATTTCAATTCGTAACAAATGAGTGGAACAAGCTGAAATTAAATAATGAATTGCATATTCTCGATAAAACTATTATACGAGGAAACAAAACAGCACACTTATATCGCAGTATATTATAATTTTTTAGATTTTTAATTTGTCAATTGTGTCAGAAGCAAAATTGATCGTAAATTTTGTCAAGTTTAATTATTTAATTTTTGATAAGTTGTTTTGAAAAAAGTAGATATATGTTTGATATTGAATTAATTAATGAATTAATTAATTCAATATTTTAAATTTTATTATAAATTTTTATAAATTTAGAGTTTTGATCAATTTTGCTTTTAACTAGTATAATTATTAAATAACATCATTTTTATTAATATTTTTCAAATTTTGTAAATTATTAAGTATATACTTTTTAGGTGCATTGTTAATAGCTTTGGTATTGTTCTTATTGATTCCATTAATTTCTCCTATATTAGATGTATTTCTTCCACTAAATGAAACTCGACCACGACAACAACTTCTCAAAGTTAATTATTTGATTTTTAACGATCACGATTACTTTTTCTATGTATATTTGCAACTTGCTTGGGGATCAATTATAGTTGTGGTGACTTCAGTTGCCGTAGATTCATTATTGATTCTCATAATTCATCACTGCAGCGGATTATTTACAGTTTGCGGGTAAATATAATCATGCTACAAAAAACATATATAAGTATATAATGTTATATTTCTCCTTATAATTATTTCTTTTTTTATAAATATTTCTCATCATAAATATATAGATATCAAGTGCAAAAAGTAATAAGGAATGCAAAATCGTTTAATGAAACTGTTTTAAATAATTATACGTACGAGCAAATTAAGAATTGCGTGATCATGCACGATGAAGCCATCCAGTTTGTATTTATCAAATAACAATAAAATACACCTTTCAAATAATTATAATAACTAATTCATTCATGCGTTAAATTTTGAGGTTTTATAATATTCTGAATGAAAGTAATCGAAATAGTTATCTTATTCAAGTTGGGTTAAATATGTTGGCCATAAGCGCGACAGCTGTCCAAGTAAAAATCAATTTAATCAATAAAATCAAACAATTAAAATTAGAATTAGCTTATCAACATACGTACATATTTTACAGGCAGTTGTAAATTTGGATAGACCAGAAGAAGCAATTAGAAGCGCTGTATTTTGCGGGGCTAATCAATTCCATTTATTCGTACTCAGTTTACCTGGACAAGTACTCTTGGATCATTGTTCTGAGTTTTCAAATAACATGTACGTGTTCATTCTATGCAAATATAAATAATAAATTATTTTAACAAGTATTAATGTAACGATATTATAATAGATACAATTCCATATGGTATAGAGCACCTGTGCGAATTCAAAAAGTACTCTACGTAATGCAAATAAGGAGTAAGAAATTATGTACGTTGTCGGCAGGTGGATTGTATGAAATGAACATAGAAAATTTCGGAATAGTACGTATATAATATAAAGCTAATATAGTTGTATTATATCAATTATTACTTACAATCATTTTCTTTTCAAGACCTTTAAAACGTGCATGTCGTATTTCACAATGATAATGTCGCTGAAATAATGAATCTACGTTATATATATCGAAAATATATTAAATATATTATATTTTCTATAAAGTAAATAAGGATGTGAATAATAGTAATAACATAGTTATTATATCTATTGTTAAATAATATAAATGACTTTATCAAACATATAAATAAAACAAAATGCTATAATATTTCAATGTATAAAAAAGATTATATATTACCATAAGAAAATCATATCAAAATAACAAATTGATCAACATTTCATAGAATTCATTTCACTTATGATGAACTAAAAATAGAATTTTCAAATTTTATCGAGAAGAAATAGTTTTAGAAATACTTTTGTAAAATTATCTATACTATCCACATTTTGCAAATAACAATATTCGACTGAATCCAACAAAGAGAACTCATATTTCGGAAGTCGAATAAATTAGTATTATTGGTACACTACTACTTAGAGATAATTTTTAGAATTTAATAATTTTCAATACACAATAATTTGAAAATCTTTTGTCTATCACCGAATGTTTAGCGAATGCCATATTGCAGCCATGGGAATCAATATTTCAGAATAATCATAGATGTTCGATTTTCAACATAAGTGGCAGGTGTCAATACAACCGTAGAATTATCATTTTCTTATCTATAATACAATTGTCGCACAATGTCGATTAATTTAAATATGCAATGATGTATACCTGTCGTATAAAGAAACGAATCGAAGTTATACTTAAAAATTATATATTCGTTAGATACATAGAATATCATCAAATGTCGAGTTTAATTGCACTTATCAGATTGATTTCTTCTATTCTGGAAGGAAGAAGATTCATCCTTTTAAAACGACAATTGTTTCTACAATAGTTATAATACTGGAAATATGGATAGTAAGAGGAATAGACATAATTTATATCATTTGAAATATTTAACTTTTTACAAATTAAAAATACATTGATATTATTTATCATTTTTTCTCGTTGTATTTAAAATAGTTCGGCAAAAAGTAACTTTTATGATATGAATTTAAATTTAAGTTACTCAGTATTTCAGAAAACCGAAAGACAGTATCCCGAAATATTTAATATTCCTTACTATAAAATGGTCGAGAAATACTTTCAACTTTTGGGACAAGATCCACGTCAAAAAAGTAAATTCAGAAATTGTATAGTAACAGTGGTGGTGATTAGTATTTCAAGCAATATTGTTCCAACGGTAAGGAAATCTTTTATAAAAATGAGGAAACTAAAGCAAGTGAATTCTATGTAATAAAATAAAGATAACGTTAAACAATTGAAACTTGTAATTGTCATTAGTCAATAGAGTTATATACATCGTTATGTGACAAGAATATGGACGCAGTGATCGAGGGTCTACCACACTTTATCGCAGCTACCATTAGTGCCGTTAAAATATTAAATATATATTTCTATAGAGAAAACGTAAGTAATTGTTTAATTATACAAAAGAATTTTTTTGGAATAATATATTTTTTTTAGTTTGACAAATTATTTCAATTTGTGGCAAATGAATGGGACAAGCTGAAATTAAATAATGAATTGCATATTCTTGATAACACTATTGTACAAGGAAACAAAATGGCGCAATTATACCGAAGTATATTATAGTTTTCTAGATTTTTAATTTGTCAATTGTGCCAGAATCAAATCTATTAAGATTAATTATTTAGTTTCTAAAAAGTTAGACTTTTGATTCCGAGATTTCTTACAATGTTGATCAATTTAACTTCTGATTAGCAATTATTAAATAATTATAATAATCATCAAATATATTTTTTAGGTGCATTATTAACAGCTCTGGTATTGTTCTTACTGATTCCATTACTTTCTCCCATATTAGACATCGTTCTTCCATTAAATGAAACTCGACCACGACAACAACTGCTCAAAGTTAATTATTTATTTTTTAACGATGATAATTATTTTTTCTATGTATATTTGCAACTTGCTTGGGGATCAATCATGGTTGTAGTAACCATAGTTGCCGTAGATTCATTGTTGATTCTTATAATTCATCATTGCAGCGGATTATTTACAGTTTGTGGGTAAATATAATCGAAATCTGTAACAAAATATACAAATACATAAATAATCTAATATTTCTCGCTATAAATATATTGTATGATTATTTTTAAGATATCAAGTACAAAAAATAACAGAAAATGCAAAATCACTCAATGAAATTGTTTCAAATAATTACACATACGAACAAATCAGGAATTGTGTGATCACACACGATGAAGCTATCCAGTTTGTATTTATCAAATAACAATAAAATACACGTTCAAATAATTATAATAACTAATTCATTCATTAAATTTTGAGGTTTTATAATATTCTAAATGAAAGTAATCGAAATAGTTATCTTATTCAAGTTGGATTAAATATGTTGGCCATAAGCGCGACAGCTGTCCAAGTAAAAATCAATTTAATCAATAAAATCAAACAATTAGAAAAGCTTATCAACATATGTACAATATTTTACAGGCAGTTGTAAATTTGGATAGACCAGAGGAAGCAATTAGAAGCGCTGTATTTTGTGGGGCTAATCAATTCCATTTATTCGTACTCAGTTTACCTGGACAAGTACTCTTGGATCATTGTTCTGAGTTTTCAAATAACATGTACGTGTTCATTCTATGCAAATATAAATAATAAATTATTCTAACAAGTACTAATGTAACGATATTATAACAGATACAATTCTATATGGTATAGAGTACCTGTGCGAATTCAAAAAGTACTCTACGTAATGCAAATAAGGAGTAAGAAATTATGTACGTTGTCGGCAGGTGGATTATATGAAATGAATATAGAAAATTTCGGAATAGTACGTATAAATATAAAGCTAATATAGTTGTATTATATCAATTATTACTTACAATCATTTTCTTTTCAAGACCTTTAAAACGTGTATGTCGTATTTCACAATGATAATGTCGCTGAAATAATGATTCTACGTTATCCATATCGAAAATATATTATGATATAAATATATTATATTTTCTATAAAGTAAATAAGAATGTGAATAGTAATAAATATAATTAATAATGTTGCAAAGAAAAATGTTGCTTGAAATTACCTGAAGAATCTCCAATCTTCAAATTTTTGAATAACATGTTGATCTTACTAAAATAATTATCATTCTACAAAATTTTTTTATTCCACTAATAAAGTATTACGAATAAAGTTGTAAAATTTTAGCAAAAAAAAATGTACAAGAACGTGAATGTAGATAAATATATTTTACAAATATTTTTGTAAAACTGTTTATATTATCCATATTTTGCAAATAACAATGTTCCACTGATTTTGACAAAGAGAGTCCACATTTGGAAGTAAAAAAAATTAATATTACTGGAAATACACTGCAAGCAAAGATACAATGATTTTTTTTTTTAGAATTTAATAATTTCAGTACACAATAATTTGAAAATCTTTTTGTCTGTTACCAAATTGTTTGACGAATGCCATATTGTGTAGCGCAGCCATAGTAATCAATATTTCAGGATAATCATAGATATTCGATTTTCAGTATAAGTGGCAGGCGCCAATATAACCGTAGAGAACTATCATTTTCTTATCTACGATACAATTATGCACAACGTCAATTAATTTAAATGGGCAATGATGCATACTTGTCGTATAAGATTCGAAATTATGCTTAATAACTACGGTTACACACATCGAGTCATACATCATCAAATGTCTACTATAATTGCATTCATCAAATTGATTTCTTCCATTTCGAAAAGAAGGACATTCATCCTCTTGATACGATTACCGCTTCTATATCAATTACATACCTGAAAATATGGACAGTAAGAAAAAAAGATAAAATTTATATCTAGAAAAGATTAAAATATTTATTTTTTTATAAATTAAAACTTTTACCTTTATATTAATATTACATCAATCATTTTTTTCAATTTCATTTGAAATATGTCAACAAACTAAATAAATTTTAAAAATTTATTTAAATTTAGTTATTCAGTATTTCAGAAGACCAGAAACAAATGTATCAATATATTTGATATTCCTTATTATAAATTGCTCGAGAAATATATGAAATTTTTGGGACAAGATCCACGCCAAAGAGATGGATTCAGAAATATTATTGTAATTACAATGGTGACTAGTATTTCTGGTATTCTTATTCCAACGGTAAGAATGTTATATTGAATATTTTAGAAATATTTCTTAGGTGAAACATAAAAATTGAATGAATTCTATAAAATAAAGTAAGTAATCAGATAATATTGTTAAACGATCGGGACCTGGAATTCATTAGTCATTAGAATTATACACATCATTATGTGATAAAAATATGGATGCAGTGATCGAGTGTCTACCCCATTTGATCGCGGCTGCAACAAGTGTTGTTAAACTTTTGAATATTCATTTCAACAGAGAAAATGTATGTGAAATTAATATCATTCAACTTAATTTTTTTTAAGTATAAAAATTCATATCTTAACTAGACAAACATCTATTGCGTTATAGTTTAAAAAATTGTTTGAATTTATAACAAAAGAATGGGAAAAGTTTGAGTTAAATAATCAATTTCATGTTCTTGAAGAAATTACCATAAAAGGTAGTAAAATGGCACAGTTATATCGAAGTAAGTTTTTGCAAGTTTTGCATTTCTTAATTTTTTCCTCTCTTGATTCTTAATTATTTCTTAATTATTAATTTAGAAAAAAAATTAGCAAACAAGTGAATCAATCTTTTATCCTTTATCTTTTCAGATACATTATTATCCTTTATGGTATTATTTTTACTCGTACCATTAATTTTTCCTCTTCTGGATATTATTCATCCATTAAATGAAACTCGACCGAGACAGCAATTATTTAGAGTTAATTATTTGATATTTAACCATAATGATTACTTTTTTTATATATATTTGCAGTTAGCTTGGGGATCTATCATTGTTGTGATGATCATAGTTACTATAGATTCGTTGTATATGATTATAATTCATCACAGCAGCGGAATGTTTGCGATGTGTGGGTAAATAATATTCGTAATATTCAGTAATTTCTATTTAAATTTATATTTACTTTTTCTAAATCTTATTATACATCTACAGGTATAAAGTTCAAGAAGCGACCAGATATCCAAATCTATTCAATGATAGAATTATTTCAGAAAATTACACGTATGAACAGCTTAAAAATTGCATAACCACTCACGATAAAGCCCTTCAGTTTGTATTCCTCAAATTTTACATAATTCATATTAATTAATATATTGTCAAATACTTCTTCTTGAACACGACTAATTAGTTTTTTTCTCATATTTTGAGATTTTACAATATTCTGAACGAAAGCAGTCGAAATAGTTATTTAATTCAAGTTGGATTAAATATGATGGGTATAAGCGTGACAGCAGTCCAAGTAAAGAAAAAAATCTAAAGAGAACGAAAAGAGATCAAAGAATAAGAAAAAAATCTTATCTAATGGATAGTTTTATTTTTCAGACAGTCGTAAATCTAGATAAACCGGAAGAAGCGATTAGAACTGCTATATTTCTTGGAGCTGAACAATTTCATTTGTTTGTAATCAGCTTACCTGGACAAGTACTTCTGGATCATTGTACAGAATTGGCAAATAATATGTATGTATTTAACGTGTGTATATGTACAATTATAAACTCGTATATGTATAATCTTTTTTTTTTTTTTTTGATATCATATAACAGATATAGTTCTACATGGTATGGAATACCAGTAAAAATTCAGAAAGTACTCCACATGATGCAAATAAGGAGTAAAAAACCGTGTTCATTGACAGCGGGCGGATTATACGAAATGAACATGGAAAATTTCGGAATAGTATGTAATAATTATAGAGTTATTATTTATAATTCATATTTATTAACATTTATACGGTCATTTTTATTTTAAGACCTTTAAAACTTGCATGTCATATTTCACGATGTTAATGTCATTAAAAAAATAAGAATACGTCAAAAATATTTAGTTCATGATTTCATTGTTTTGTGTCCAGATTGATCAAGAATAGTAGAACAAATATGTATTGTTAATATATATTATTGAAAAGTTTAAATGATTTTATTAAGGTTACTTAATCATATTTTCCATACGATGCATGGATAGTATGTATTTTAATAATAAATTATAATAAATTGTATTAGAAAACTTACCCAAATATGTATGTTAAATGAATATAATTTAATTAAAATCATTATATTATTATTCTTACAAGATAATAATATTCTTGTTCTACATGGTAGAACCATTTCCAAAAGAAAAAAATTTTAAAATTAAAATTGAAAAAATTATTGTATATAGATATACTTCACATTTGGTAATATTTTTTTCAAAAGTAAAATTTTTTATTTGATGTATTTTTCACATTCTTGAAAAATTTTTTTTGGAATTTTTTTTTATTTTCTTGCTCAAATATTATTTAAATTTTTGACAACATTGATTTGCAATTATCAATTATTTGTATTAATGTTTTATTTTTGCATCTTACTATTGTCATAATAGTTTATTTTGAACAGTGTATAACGCGAATCTACAACACAATAAATGAAATTTATCTTGGATGAAAACGTATAGTTTTTGTTTAAAAATTCAAAAGACTTCAAAGATTTTGATTGAAAAATTTTCGCTAACATTATATTTCAATTATCCAGATCAATATTTCAGAGTATTTCAGAGTAATAAGAGTCATTGATTTCCAATACAATTGATTGATGCCTTAGATACTGCTATTATTTTCTTATCTACGAAATAATATCATACTTTAAAAACGATATCTTAATACATACCTGTACAATGAAAATTGCACATTTTCATCGATACAGAATATTGAGTTAATTATAAATGTAAATAATTTGAGTATACATCGAAATTTCAATAATCCCTATTTTCTATGATTCTATAAAAAAGAGCTTAGATGATGTTTATCGAAACAGTTTTATGAACAGTGTGCTGCTACATTGATTGCAATAGATTTCCTGAGTAGTTTTCCTGTCTCAAAAATTCGTAAATCTAAATAGTAAGAAAAAAATGAGTAGTATATCATAATTTTTATGGTAACTTTATCACAATAGTTATTATTAACACTATCTATTCGATATTCGTTGTAAACATTTTATTTGTTCAAGAAATTGGATTGAAATATTTTATTTTATTATGATATATAATTTTTTCAATATCTTTTTTTGTAAATGACTAGATAAAATTTTTAATTTAAACAACAATGTTCAGTGTTACAGAAGAGTAATGAACAAGAATATAACGTATTCGATATTGCATATTATAAAACGCTCAAATTATATTTAACGATCTGTGGGATAAATCCGTATCAAAATAATAATATTAGTATAATTATAATAGTCATGATAATCTCCATTTGCATGAGCTTTCTTTGTCCAACGGTAAGAAGAGCATATTATGTCATTTTTTAATAATTATTAATCGATGAATAAAAAAATAAGAAAAAATAATGTGAGAAAATATCTCGCAATTGACAATCTTTAAATAAAGCAAATAATCAAGTAATATTGTTATACAATATTGAAATTTGATAGTCTATACAATTATGGGAGGCCATAAGTAATAAGGATTTCGATAACATTATTCAGAATATACCTCAAGTAATTACAGTAATTATCAGCATGATAAAGATATTAAATATCTATTCTAACAAAATGCAGGTATTGAAAAAAATCATTTTATAGATATAAATTTGCAATTATATACATATAATAATCAAATATATTGTAGTTTAAAAAATTATTTTACTCTTTGGCGCAAGATTGGAAATCATTAGAATCAAAAGAAGAATTAATCATGCTACACAAATTTACTCAATATGGTAGTAAACTTGCACTCCTGTATAGGAGTAAGTTAAAATCATAGAAGTAATTTCTCATACATATTTTATGCAATATTAATTCAATATACAATAACAAAAATATTTCTTCTAGGAAGTTTATTAACTTTTCTTGTAATATTTCTCTCTCTTCCTTTATGTAATCCTATTCTGGATGTTATTTTACCGTTAAATGAAACCCGACCACGACAAAATATATTTAATGTTAATTACATAATTCTAGATAATTATGAATATTTTTATATTGTGTATATGCATTTATCTTGTTCTGCGGCTATTATTGTAATAATAATAATCTCAGTAGATTCGTTATACATTTCTATTATTTACCATGCTTGTGGATTGTTTGCAGCATGTGGGTAAATATTCAATGTGGTATTAAATAATGTATAATCAAGAAACAAATATATAACTTATAATCTTATAAACTTATATATCTTATAAACTTATATAAATATATAACTTATAAATAATACATATCTCTTTTATAATTCGAATATACTTACATTTATTAATGTTAGATATTATTAATGTTGATAATTTTAAATAATAATGTTTATTATAAATACATATAGGTATCAGATTCAAAAATTAACAAAAGTTCATACTATTAAAAAAAATGGACCTAACATAAGCAACATTGATTACGAAGAATTCAAACAATGCGTGATAATGCATTATAAATGTCTTCAGTCTGTACCAATTATTTAAAATTAATAATTAATAACAAGTAATTTAATTCAAATTAAAAGTTTTATTTGTCTCATTTTTAAGACTTTACGATGTACTCGAGAAGTGTTGTAGAAATTTATATTTGATCCAGATGGGATTAAATATAATGATTATCAGCGTGACATGTGTTGAAGTAAGAATACATATATTATATTTATTTATTTTGCAATAAGAGATTTCTCAAATTTATATTTTACAATAAAATTATTTGAATGAATAATTATTAAAAAATGATTAATAAACATATTAGTATTTATTTTTTAGGTAGTTGTATTTTTAGATCGACCGGAAGAGGCCATCAGGGCTATTATTTATGTTATAGCTCAACAATTTCATTTATACGCTATTAGTTTGCCTGGAGAAACATTACTTAATCAAAGCTCAAAATTGGCTGATAAAATGTAAGTTTTTTATATTATATTTATATAATAAAGAAAATTGAAAATAATTTAAATTTATGAATTTCACATTAGATATGATTCTGAATGGTATAAAATACCAATGAAAGTTCAAAAAGTACTTCATATAATGCAAATTAGATCCAACAAACCATGTATATTAACAGCAGCGGGATTATACGAAATGAAAATTGAAAGTTTCGGAATAGTACGTAAAATTAATAAAAATGTATCATTATAATAATAATATAAACGAGAGCTAATAACTTATAATTTTTTAATTTCAAGACAATTAAAACATGTATGTCATATTTCATGATGTTTTTATCACTAAGAGAGTAATTTTCGTTACTATATGAAAATATGTATTCATACATTCTAATCTTATGATTTATCAACAATTTGATATTTCGCTTTCTAATTATATATATTAATTATAAAAGCGATTATATTATGTGCAAATGAAATTATACTACTTCAAAAAAATTATTTAATCGATATCAATTATATTTATACCATATATATATTAATATTAATTTCGTACATATTACTTAAGTTATTTATGTATTCTCAATAAATAGATGTTATTCTAATTAAGATTGATATGTTATAAAGAATATAGAATATAGAATATAATATTAGAAATTCATATACATATAAATATTTTTAGATAATACTAATGATAAATAAAATATTCGTAAAAAAACTAAAATATAAAATAAGTATTTATTGTTTAACATACAATAAATTTCATAAAGAAGACTGGTATAATTGATTAATCAACTTATTAAAAATTAATAATAAAAATTAAAAAATATAAAACAGATATAACATCAGAGAATATTTAATAATTTCTATTTATATAAAATTTCATTCATTAATTAAAATGTTTTTTTGTATATAGTTGATAAATTGTTTTACTAATCGCTGATCCTATAAGACGTTTTCTATTACCAAATTGAATATTTGCTAATAACAATTCTCCATTACAGTCAGGTGTATGTAAAGCATCAATTAGCAATCGCGGGGTTGGATAATGTTCTACAATTGCTAAAGCTTTATCTACAGACATTCCTTTTAATTGTAATAGTTGACGGATAAACATTTCATTTACTTTAAATACCTAAAAAATTTATCAATATAATTAGAAATATATATTATATAAATTTGATATGCAATTATATACCTTATGTTTAGATGCTGCTTTATTAAATTCCTCAAATTCCATGAGATTATAAATATTATTTGAAATATTTGAAGGAAGCAATTTAACATTTGTTTCTTTAATAATTTCTTTTTTGCCACCTATTAAATTCTTGTCCTAGAAAAGTTTTTTCTTTGAGATAATTAAATTAATAAATAAATTAAAATATCAAAATCTGTAAAATCTGTAAAAGAAATATTACTTTAAAAGTTTTAATCAAAATTCTAGTTAATGATGATAAATAAAACATAGAATCTTTATGGCTCTTAGTGTATTTTAGAGAAAAATTATCTTGTATCAGAGTATTAATAGAAGCTTGCATCAAAGATGAATATGGTATTGTCAATTTTTGACTCTTCTCATGATCCTCTATTATATAAATGAGATTTGTAATTCCAGATTGTTTTAGTCTATACTATATAAGATAAAATTCTATTTAATTATAAATAATATAAAAATATGTAAATATAAATATAATTTCATTATAATATTACTTTCTGTTCATGAAATCTTCCATCTATAATACTTGCACTCAAATCATCTATTCGTTTTCTTTCCACTATATAAGGTAAAATTAACTCAATTTTTTTTCTTCTACATCTAGCAATCCATGCAAAATCACCAATTTTTAAATGACGTATTTCAAATAATACATCAAGTTGTGTTAATTCCTTTATAGTATCATCATGTTGAGGTTTTGTCTTACCACTATATTAAAATTATTTAAAATCATATTTTTAAATTTTTTATATTAGAATTCAATAAAATAAAACATACCCAGAAATTTCTTGTGTATCTACTAATAATATTATATCAAATTTGTTTGATTCTAAATAAACATTTTTTTGAAAATTATCAATAGAATCTGTTTTATTTTCTAAATTATCTACATGATTTTTATCTTGTAAATTTTTTGTTTTTTCTTGCACATTTTCTATAAGATCATTATTTTTTATTTGCTTTTCAAAATTCTTATCAGATTTTTCTCTATGATTTTTTATAATAATACATTCTGCAGATTTAGATTTATATATTTTTGAAAAATTATTTGAGTCTTTATCCTGTATACTCTTAAAACATTCTTTTTGTATTTTAGTATTGTCAATGTTCAATTTATTTGTTGGAAGTTCTAAATTTAAATCTTTATTTTGTATATTCTTAGAACATTCTCTTTTAATATTTTCATTCGAATTATTTGTTAGAAGTCCTAAATTTTCTATAATCAATGTTTCTAAAAATGTTTGAATTTTACTTAATATTTCAAAAGAATTTATTGATTTTGCTTCAATACTTGTAACTTCACATATCTTTCTTGAAATATTTATACCATGTTCTGTAAGATTATACCTAAACAAATTATATTGTTTTTAATAGTTAATTAATTAATTTATGTTATATACAAATTCAATAATCATCATTACCTAATTGGTTCATGATCAGATATCATGGAAATTAAATTTTTTTCAACTAAATCTAAAATTGAAGTCTTTGTTGCAAAACCACATAATTCTTCTATTTCAGATAATAAATCTATTTCGGTAACATATTCTAACAAATTTTAATATTAAATAAAATATAAGTATATCATTTATAAATAAAAAATTATTTATGCAAAAATTAAAAGTATTCTTTAGAATATACCTGAATAACAAGAATCTTGAAATTTCTTATATAAAATCAATAAAACAGCATAATTTTCTACATTCCATGACAATAAATTTATATTATTAAATGTTATTAATTCTGTCTTAAAATAAAAGATGAATTAAGTTATTAATGTTTAAATTTATTTAATTATTTAAAAAATATATATTAAAAAATATATTTACTTTTTGATGTACAAAATCTTCATCTGTAATTGTTTGAACTTTATATTTTCTTTTAACTATATTTTGTTCGTTGTGGCTGCAATATTCACAAGTATAATCATTCGCATTTATTAAATCTGAATTCTGAACTTTATATTCTTCGAGTTTTCTATCTAACATCGAGCATAATTTTTTTCCAAAATGTTGCAATATTATACAATCTTTTCCAGACTTTAATGGTAGGGGATATTTTCTCAGCGCAGCGAGTGCTTTCGAAAAATGATATTGCAAATCGGAATTTCTGGATGCAGCTTCTTTTCTCCATTCTTCTAACCAACATTCAAATAATGGATTTGGATTTTTTAACTTTAGTTTTATTCTTTTCATGATATTTTTATATAATAATATACATATATCTATATATTACTAAATAATAAAAATGATTCATCATAAAATTATCATTTCAATGAAACTAATATTTACACACAACTTTCCAATATGAAACTTTAGAATTCACAATATTAAGTTCTATGTATCTTTTCTTTTAAAACCTAACCTATTTTTTATCTTATATTTAAAATTATTCTTTTTATTAATAAAAATAAATAAAAAATCATATTAAATATGATTAAATATTACCTAAAATATTATGATATATCTTATATAATAAATATATATTAAAATTTCAATTTTCAATCTTTTCTTTTTTTAAAAATATTTTAATATATTTTAATCAATAAAAATATGATATATAAAATAAAATTAAATATTTATACATAGAATATAAATATTTTTATTCTTTTTAAATTAAAATTTATAACTTTCTATATAAATTTATATTTTTTTGTGAAATAAAATTAATGACATATAAAAATACAAAAATATATATCTAAAATATGTAAAAAATTGAATTGGATAGACTCTGTTAAGATTTTTAATCAATAGATTAGACAAAAAAATAATAAAATTAATCAAATATATAAGTCATCTTTTGCACGTATAAATTTTATAGAATAAATATAAACAAAAAGAATAAATAATAAAAAAATGAACAGAAACAGAGATAGTGTAAAAATTAAGAGATCAGCGTCATCTCTAGAATGTAAATGAAATTCAAATATAGATAAGAAAAATAAATGATAGAATAAGAATTGATAATCAGCGCCATCTCTTGAATGTCAAAGATACTTCAAAGATAAAAGTAAAATGGAGTAAGAATTAAAAATCATCGCCATCTGTTGAGTATTTTTAAAAAATGATTCTTTGAAAAAATATCCTTAAAGATATCCATCCAAGAGATGGAGTTGACAGTCAATTCTTATCTTATCTTTATCCTTCTTCTTCTATTTGCTCTCTTTATTTATATTTTAATTTCATTTACTCCAGAGATGGCGCTGATATCCGAAATTTTACTCTATGTCTCTCCTTTTTCCACTATTTATTTTTCTTGTCTATTTTGCTCTGCAAAATTGATATTCTTAAGAAACAAATCTGATATTTAATCAATTTTATGTTTTTTTTTACCTATTGATAAAAATCTTAATAATCATATTCGATCCATTTTATATGATAAAATATTTATTTTATTTCGTATTTATAATTTTATAACTTAGTTTCATTTTCAATTATTATTAATGTTATACTATCTTATTTTGAATCGAATCGGTAATGTCGGTAATAGAATGACACGAAATGTAAGAGAACTTAGTGTCCCTGAAGCATGAGATAAAAAAATATATTAAAGTTAAAACTATTTTGTATCTCGTTTGTGTCCACAGATTAGTTCAGTCGGTGATAAAGGAAATTTTATAGTTAAATTATCGGTAATTTATGTTTAGCATTAATAGAATTTTGTAAGGTAGTAAATATATCTTCTAACTTTGGTATAACAGGAAATGCTAACCAATATGGATTTATTTTAATATTTTTAAATTTATATAGTATATTAAAAGATTTTTACAAAATAATCAGTAAAATGTATGCATAATCAGTAAAATATTGCATTGTAGACATATGATTCCAGTAATCGTTTGCAAAATATGATCTCATTTCCTGGTAAATCATACGTACAGTAATAAAAATTTTTTTTATTTACAATTAATCAAATATTTTAATTATTCATATTTAATTGTCACTTTCATAAATATATTTTAATTCAAGTTTAATATAAAATAATGTTATCTATATTATTTATATTATGTAATAATTGTTGTCAAATTGCTATAATTTTAAAGTATTAAAAAATATAAAGTATTATAAATAACAAAAATATATGATATATAATATATTTACATTTTTTAATTATTGAATTTTAATTAATTATATTGATT